GCCAATGATACAATTTTTGCACGTTGCACATATTGGTTTAGCGACGACGATATAAATATTAAAATGGTTGTTTTGATTAAAAATACTTTTTACTAAATATTTCAGGCCGTAAAAGCTGTAGCTAAGGTCTTAAAAACCTCACTCAGTGCGGACGCTATCAAAGCTGGCAAAAATCAGTTGAAGACACAAGTGTTAAATGAAGCCGACACAGGATCGTCGCTTGCCGAATCATTAGCAGCGCAAGGCTTCTACACCGGCTCTGTCCGCTCTGCTGTTGACATCGCCAAGGATATCGACCAGATATCCAATAATGACATCTCGCAGGTGATTTAGATAAACAATAACATATTTTTTTTTTTTGAATATTCAAGAAAATTATAAACATTAATTAAATATGACTTAATGCTGGACATAATCTTCTGTTGATTGAGCACAAATTCTTGCCAAGATCAAGTTAATGGTTTGTTCAAATTGCTGACCAAGACGCCAGTGCATTCGTATCAAGCGATGCGACTGTGCCGGTGTCCGAATCCCGCAGGCAGGTACCAACTTCCCTTATGAAATATTATGTACTTAACAAATGTTCACGATTTACTTGCACGGTGAAGGGATAACAATGTGTAATAAAAATCAAAACTGCAATCTTATAATTTTGCGTAATTGCTGGTGGTAGGACGTTTTGTGAGTCCGCACCTACCCGGCACCTATTTCTGCCGTGTAGTATTTCTGCAGTAATGCGTTTCGGTTGGAAGGGTGGGGCAGCAGTTATATTGTAAAAACTGAGATCTTAAAACTCATATCTTAAGGTGGCAGCATTTACTTTATCTATGAGTTCTGGTAACCACTTAATACCAGGTGGTCCGTGAGCTCGCCCACCCATCTAAGCAATAATTAATATAAATTTTATATAATAAATAAAATAATAAATGTCTAATCCCATATTTTGATGGATATCACTCGGAAGACTTACCAAGGCTGCTCCAAACATACAAGTATTCTATGAAGTGGCTGCATATGTTTTGTCATTTAAAATTATGAGTATTCAATATTGTGCCCAAAGATCAAAATTCAACAAAAATGAATCTTGCCTGAAGATTTAGATTAATTTTATGTACTTATCAAATTCTCTTTTTTTGTGGCCGACTATTTGTTCAACAAAATGGTTTTTTTCTTCTTTTTTTTTAAATCATAATACTAGCAGGTTTGGTAGGCAGCGGCTCTGCCCCTGGTATTGTTGACGTCCATGAGCGACGGTGACCACTTACCATCAGGTGGACCGTATGCTCGGTTGCCTACAAAGGCATTAAAGAAAAAAAACCAACGCTTGTCAATAGCTACTAAATAATTAATTTAGAGAATCCATTGACTGAGGAGAAATTGAAATTGTTTCACCTTAGCCATTTTATCTACATACAGAACTAAACTTGGGTGGGTAAACACATATGTTATACACTATACTTTTATTTTCCAGGCTGTCTCGAATGCGGCAAAGAACAAGATTTCAATTGGCGCTGTTGGAAACTTAGCGTTTGTTCCCTATATAGATGAATTGTAAACTCGGTATTAAATCTTAATTTATTCCTTAATCTGTTACCTACCTTAATAAATCAACAAATTAGAAACAATATGGATTGTAATTTATTGTTTTAATAAATCATTTGTTAATTATAAAAATTATTTTGGAGATACTTCATGAGTACCAGATGTCTGAAGTAATGTATAAGGAGGCAAGTTTTTAGTATCTTTGAAAGAATCTCTGAAGCCACTGGATTGGTTAAAAAATTGTTTCAAAACAACTAAATAAACTAAATAATTATTTACCTACTTACTCGGCCGGTCTCTCAAGACCATCAACTTACGTAGGAAAAAAAGGTTTTTCGGGACAAAAGAGAGTTTAAGACACTTTCTAGACTAGGACTGTTTAAACTGCATACCTTTGTAGGCGAATTAAGTTTACTACAAAAGCTGGAGGGCCGCAGAAAAATTTATTTTCAAATATATTTTCCTGTTATTCCCCAACAATAGTAAAATATAGCTTCACTTTTAAATTATGCCTTGGGAATAAATGGAAAGAATGGAAGAATAAAAAAGATAAATAATACCTAATTTTAATACTGATTATATGTTTTGACAAAGAGTTATATTAACCAAACTATTTTTTACTAAAACTATTTTCCGATTAGAGCATACGTCGCGGGCCTCATCGTAGTAAATAGTATCTCAAATATTAAGTGCATAATCTATGATAATGTACCCAATAATCTGTTCAGTGTATTTGGTGATGTTCGTGTGCTAATTACAACAGTTTACCGGCACATCAAATGGCAAAAAGGAAGGAAACAGATTTCTTTTGAACAGACCAGATCAAGATCCAAATTTAGAACAAGACCAGAAATAAGTAAGCTGGATGTACCAAATCTACTCCAAAACACGAAGATCGTTCGTTAAAATATTATCGAACCCAAATCGACGTTTGCTTGGGCCCCATTATGATCCGTCGATTTTTGGGTGGGGGTGGGGGGAGGGAGGGGATAAGGGTTTACCCCCTGCATCATCCCCACCCCGCGGAACCCCATGGTTATGAAGGTTTTCACGGTTAATGTTTTGAGTTTAGATTACCACTATTTAGTCAACATAGGGTTAGAATTCCAATTATGGTCTATCAATTTTGAGTCGAGGAGGGAGGGGTATAAGGGCTTATCCCCTACACCATCACCAGCCCACATCCCCATGGTGATAAAGATATCCATTGTTAATTGTTTAGATTAAAATAGCATTATTTACTTAAACTCTAAGGGAGCTAAAAAACCGCCTTATCTCCGACGCTGCGGGAAGAGCAGCCCTTCCGCCCTTGCGTGCCGAAGCACGGTCACTCACGCTCCGCTCGCAGCTTCGGCTTGATGGACCAGCCTCAGCCGCTCCCCCTCGCGCTGTTCCCATGTTCCGTCACAGCGGGCGAGGAGTGCTATCCCTCCGCGCCTCCGGTTTTTTATATACACTAGGGCTAGGGCAGACAAGACCAGGTGGAAAGTGGGATGCTCTGATTCGGTTTTGGATATTTTTCGGATATCGAAAATTTTATTACTAAAACACGAGCAATTTTATTATTGTTATATTTAATCTTATTTAAAAATATATTTTAATACAGACAGTTATAAAGACGCTATAACAAAATGCGTTATTTCACGTTCCGTTTCACAGTGCAAACATTATTTCGTTACATTTTGTGTACAAAGTCAATATAGTTGCTTAATAAAACAACAATTACTGTGCACATTAATTACAACAAAATTTTATTAAATTAAAATATATTTCTGTAAAAAACATGACATAAACTGTAATAAAATACGTTTACCGTGAATGGAACGTGAAACGTCAACTTCGACGTCTACCTTGACGATTTTTCCAATTTGTACTTAGGGAAACTTTAAAAAATTATATTTCGTAAACCGTGGGTTTCCGCAACTTGAAAATTTGCAAAAAGCTTTCTATTTATGATTGACTAGCGACCCGCCCTCGCTTCGCTTCGGAAACATTAAAACACACATGAAACCAAAAAAAAAAATAAAAAAAAATTGAAGAAAGTAGCCTATGTTCATCAGGGACAATGTCGGCTTCTAATGGAAAAAGAATTTTTCAAATCGGTCCAGTAGTTTCGGAGCCTATTCGAAACAAACAAACAAACAAACAAATCTTTCCTCTTTATAATATTAGTATAGATATCTACAAAAAAATTGTGAACTTCCAAATCGACGGACCATAAAAGAAAGCTTAGCTCCCGATAAGACAATGACCCAAAACATTCAGTAAAATTATCTCGAGATGTTCTTAGAGCTAAAATGAATAAAGAATTTTTGTATCAAAAATAAAAAATCATTCTCAGCACATTGTGGAAATATTTACAAATTGAATAGAAGTTACTCTGACTCCGAATACTTTGTTAAATTAATCCAAAGAACGAGGCAAATAATAGGGGCAATTTCATACTTTAGCTCCTAATATTTAATGAAAAGTATTTTATTTTATTATTTATTTTCACTACATATATTTTACTGCTTGATTTCATTCAGATTTAATTGTAATAAATAATGGCTTGTGTTTAAATGACGTTTTTATTTAAATTACCCTGGTATTTCCAAACTTTTGAGTGGTAGTGTATATAATGCAAAAACACTAATTATACTCTTAGAGTTTAGAGTAACAGCGTTCATTTCATGTACTAATTTTAGTTATATTTTGTAGATTATAGCAGTCATGTGATTAGCTTCAAATCTATAATTCTTATCATTTATAATTTAATGGAAATAATTACACTAATACAGGTCAAAGTCTCAATTACTTACAATAGTGTCCTACCTTTTAAACTAGTATGAAGTTATCAGTATTAACGTCCCTGAGGATACAACTAAGAAGTATCATCTTGTTTAAGGTACAAGTTGAAAAAGTGTCCGCCTGTATACAGCAGGTTATTGTATGAAGCTCACTGAAATAGTATTAGTACAGGTAGTGGAAATTGAATTACTATAGCAGCTTCAAATAGAGTAAAGTGTGCAGTAAAGGCTATATTCCAATACACAGCGAGGACTGTTCAGTCCTCTTACTGGGGCGAAATTCGTTCCGTTGACTGACAGTATACAATCACCGTATCAAAGGGAAATATATGATCTCAGAAATTGTCACCATTTTTCTACTGTGAACACTAGTATTTTCTAAGTAAGGCGCCCTCAGTGCTTTGTACATGTTATCACGTTTACAGTACATAACCTCATTTCAATAATTCAGTTAAGTTATTATATAAATTGAAAAACAATATTTTCTTTATTGAAAGGTTACTTTTAGTATACAGCATATGCGTAAGAAAGTTTTCCCCAAATATTTATCAAGAATCCTGGAGCAGCCTCATACTGATTTTACCTATTAAGCAACTTAAAATTTAGTATACAAGGATTACAGAAAAATCTTTCACAGTAAATTATATTGTAGAAATTATAAAGTAATGGTACATTTCTTAAAATATTTAATATGAAACAAATTTACATGCACCATAGCACTTCTTTACATAAAAAATAAAACAATCCTATATAATGTTACTGCAATAAAATTAATGCTTAAATAAAAAAATTGTTACTAATATTTTTAGTACAGGCTCTAAATTGTGAACTACTGCACTTCAGCTTCATTTAATAGCATATTAGGAATTCCTTTAGAAATTGGGAATTGTCTTCCAGATTCTGGACAAGTCAAGTGTCCCTCTTCAACTTCCACCTCTAACAAAACTTTATGAGCTTTCTTCAAAAACTCTTCGTTTTCATCATACTTATTTTCTAAAGATCTTGGCAGACCATCACTGTGGCCGATGCTATCAGCGGCCACCCATAATACTTCCCAATCCAGCTTTGGTATTACACGACTAATAAATTCAGGATTAAAATCGACTTCTTTAACTTTAATGTCTGTCGCGTTAATTGCAAGAGGATAGCCAGTCACAACACCTTTCAAGCATTTCGAAGTGAGCATATTGTGGGTAATTAGTTTCATTATTATATTTGTATTATGCAACTTCAGTAGGAACTGAAGTCTTGACAATAATAGCTTTTCACGAGTAGAACCAAGCGATTAAGATTATTGGCACTTTTTTGTAGAATTTTCTTAAAGCATATTTGTTATTATGTACTTTATGTGCATAATTAGATATTTGAGGTTATGTTTAGTTTTTATTCAGTACCGTAGTGTAGTGAGTAGTGACAGCAGTAAGTAGTAGTAGTTTTATTTTTCCAAATGGAAAGGCAAAGGTATCCATACAGCCATCACACCATACAGCCTAGTCTGTTATAGATTTTTTTTTTATGAAATATATTATGAAATGAAATGAAGCTGATTAATTTAATGGCATGGCATGAAATGAATGGAAATGAGATGAGATGATAATTATGATATGGGTATTTTTATGAAAAATGATGATATGGAGTGAAATGAAGAATTTGAGACATTAATCAACTGGGATGAAATTAAATGAAATGAGATGAGATGATATGGGATGAAATATAATCTCAGTAAAATGGTGGTCGTTTACTGATCTACTGCTCTCGTATATTAACATTATCGTCGAGCTCAATTTGCAGTCTAAATCGCCATATGAAATCCGTTCATCCCACAATAAATTATATGAAGTAAAAAATAAAATTATTATATTATTAAGTAAGTCAATCTCTGTCAAGTAATTTAACAGTGTATTACAATACAAAGTACTATGAACAAATCACTTAGGTAATGATTCGGGTGTATAGATACAATGTATTCGTCACAGTATCTATTGAACGCTCCGAGTAATGTTAAGAGTGATGTGTAATGTTTTCGAGTAATATCACCTGTCTGTAAAAGTGATGTCATATCACATTACATTGGGATGTGATGTTTTGCGCAAGTCTAATTCGAAGGGATAAGCATTTATATTAAATTGTTGAAAAAAAAAATATTTACATTTTTAAATTAGAATGGATATAAGGTCTTGTAGCCGTTGGCCGTACATAAATATTTAAAAATATTAAATTGAGTTTATTTCTGTGTAAAATTATTGTAAATATTGAGGAGAAATGTAATCATTCACATTTATAGACAAAAGCAGCAGGCTTGTAATACTCCATACCTGCTTATAAGTATTTTACAGTTTTTATTTTTTTGCGCCATGTCAAGCCATAACTCATTAAGAATGGATGCAGCATGCAGTGAACCAACAACATCGGTGGTCTCCACGTCGTCAGTACCACAAAAAACATCGAGTGACAAAGCAATAAATGAAAACAAAGTCGATTCACCTAAACGAACACCCAAAAAATCAAAAAAAAAACAAAGATCAGAAGTTACAGTACCTACCATGGTATTCAACAATTCATCAATTAACGATGTTTCCAATAAGTGCCAGAATTTGCAAATTGAAAGCGACAGTGATAACGGGGAGACAGAACAGGTAACCCCGACTACCCCGTCGAAAGGAAAAAACGCCAAGAAAAAGGAACGACTAAAAAAGTTGGAAATACCTACGGTACCAGTGAATAACTTTAACAACACAAACAGAGTACAAAATTCACAGTATTTATTTAACTATTTTGGGTCTCCTAGAAATAGTACATTCTCTGTGCATGAATATTTTACCCAACAGATTACACCATTGTATGNGGTAACCCCGACTACCCCGTCGAAAGGAAAAAACGCCAAGAAAAAGGAACGACTAAAAAAGTTGGAAATACCTACGGTACCAGTGAATAACTTTAACAACACAAACAGAGTACAAAATTCACAGTATTTATTTAACTATTTTGGGTCTCCTAGAAATAGTACATTCTCTGTGCATGAATATTTTACCCAACAGATTACACCATTGTATGCAAGTACCAGCTCTAGGTATTTAGAAAATCTGTGTCACCATCCACAATATCAATATATGCAGAATATCCAACACATGAGAGATATTTTACAAAGCCCAGAGCATGTTGCTAGTGTACCTATCACTCCATTAATATTATCAGGACAGAGATCAGAACCTGTTTGTATTCCAAATTCTACATTTATTCATTCTGAACCTAGCACTCCAAGGTTCATAGAGAATGCATTGCAACACCCCTTATTGAATCCATCATTTTCAAGACAAACTGGTACAATACAAATTGGACAGCTCAGACTGAGGCATAATTCAGAAAACAATTGCTTAACTAAAACTCTTGTAAATGGTGACAAGAAATTTGATGCATACCTTTCTGGAGAAGATGTTGAGAAAGGTTTAAAGAACAATATGCTTATTGAAGGTGTTCTGAGGATAAATCCAAAACAATATCAACATTCATATGTTTCAAGTCAAGACCGGAGTCAACAAGATATATTAATAGAAGGTATTAAGAATAGAAATCGTGCAATGGAAGGAGATGTAGTAATAGTACAATTAGTTGAAAATGAACCTGAAGAAAACGTTACTAATCCTGAACAAAAAAGAGGGAAAGTAGTTTTTATCAAGGAAAAAGTTCATACTAGAACTTGTATTGGTTCACTCAAATTAATGCATGACAAAAATAGACAAAAAGCTATGTTCGTGCCTCGAGATCACAGAGTACCAAGAATAAATATACCATTTACTTCATGGCCAGATAATTTTTATGAAGATGCCAAGAAATATGAAAACACATTGTTTGTTGCAAAAATAATAGATTGGTCTGATACAAGGTTTGCTGTAGGAAAAATTATGGGTAATATTGGTAAATCAGGAGACATGGTCACTGAAACAAAAGCAATATTAGCAGAAAATGATTTAGATGTTACTGCTTTTGGCTCTGAATACAAGGATTTGTATCCTCAACTTGACTTTACAATTCCCGATGAAGAAATAGCAAAGAGAGAAGACTGTCGGATGTTATGTATCTTTAGTATTGATCCATTTAATTGCCGTGATATTGATGATGCAGTCTCTTGCAAGGAACTAGAAAATGGTAATTATGAGATCGGAGTCCATATTTCTGATGTTACATATTTTTTAAATGAAAACACTCCGCTTGATGTGAAAGTTGCAGAAAAAGCTACAACAATATATTTGGTAGAAACTGCTTACCACATGCTTCCAGATGATTTGTGTATGCTTTGTTCTCTATTCCCTGGTGTAGATAAACTAGCTTTCTCTGTTTTTTGGGAAATGACCAAGGATGCTAAAGTTATTAGTTACAGGTTTGCTAGGACTGTTATAAATTCATGCTGTCAGTTGGCATATGAACATGCTCAAGATGTTCTTGATGACAAAGAGGATGCTCAAATAAAATTTCCAGAAATGTACAATGGTTTTGATTACAAAGATGTGCACAAATCAATAAAAATTTTAGGCAAATTGTCAAATATTCTTCGTACAAATAGATTTGAGAATGGTGCGTTGAGAATTGATCAACCTAAGGCTAGTTTTAAATTAAATCCTACTAGTGGTTTACCAGAGTCATACTGCATATATGAGAGTAAAGAAAGCCATCAACTCATTGAGGAATTCATGTTGCTCGCTAACATGTCTGTAGCTACACGTATTTATAGTGACCACCCAAAACTGGCATTTTTAAGGAGTCATCCACCACCAAGTAAATATATGTTGATGCAGCTAGAAAAGTCTCTAAAACCAATGGGCATAAAATTAGATATCGAATCGGCTGGACATCTACACAGATCTTTACTACCATATGTGGGACCAGACAATACAGATAAAGGAAGAGCCATGGTTTTAAATTTGCTATGTGCAAAACCTATGACAAGAGCAAAATATTTTTGTGCTGCTGCTTGTGATGATGATGAATTTCAACATTATGCTCTGAATGTGCCCCTGTACACTCATTTCACAAGTCCTATTAGGAGATATGCTGACATTATGGTTCATAGGTAAGCTGACTGTAATCTTTAAGCACACATTTATTAAGTGCGCAAACTACACTGTTTGTCAATAAATGGCTGCTGCAGTAAGTGCTAGTCACTTACTTTTGACAGATCTAAAACGTGAACCGAGCTTTGACATACTTAATATGGTAAACAAACCGCTTTAAGACATTAGTGATTTTGTTATTCCATGACATACTTTTGGTTTTTGAAAATGTTTTCTATTTGCACTACTGATACATTTGAGATAATTTTAACTTTGTTGTTTTCAGGCTATTAGCAGCAAGCTTAAATTATAGAGAAACTCCAGCATGGCAGGAGGATGATGTACGCATGATAGCTGCTCAATGTAACAAACAGAAGTACAATGCTAAAAAGGCTGGTGAAATGTCAACAGAATTGTACACTTTAAAGTACATTGAACTTAATTCTCCCATAGTCACTGAAGGTGCTGTGGTTGACATTAGGGAGAAATATATTGATGTTATCATTGTTTCCATGGGCCTGAACCGGAGAATATTTTTCAATAATGTAAGATTTTTATATAATATCATTTAATTTTCTTAAATATAAAATGAGTATATGCAAAATTCAAAGAGAAACAATATACACATCTACTATAGATATCTACACCTATATACTATATCTATATACTATACCATCTACCCATCTTTAAACTATAGTGTCTATACCCTCTGTGTCTCAAAATTATATAGGTACTGAGCATATACCTTGAATTTTATAACTGATAAATTATGTACAGTGCACATATTTCTCCTTTCATTTTGAATACCTAATGAAATTATTAATGATTTAATAATGATTTAAAATCTAGAATTATATCAGAAATTATCAAATGTTTTGTCTTTATTACTTTTCCTGATTTCATTAGTCATTTTATCGATATTAGAAATATAAATGCATGTATGCATGCACTTACATGCATCTATTATGCTAAATCTACCTAATTAAATTAAGGTTTTATCTAATTAAACCTCCCATATTATTTAGTCCTATTTACTGTTTATTTATTTATTAATTTTTTTCATTTCTAAAATGATTTAGTTTTAATTTTCACTCAGTGTACTTCACAAGTATATAACCCCAAAGTTTAGAAAAAATTGATAATTAATTAAGCATCTTATTCACTAATTGAATTATTTTTTAATTAAAAAATAACTTATGACTTCTCAAAGGAGATTATCCTTTTTTGTTTAACTCCTGATGGTCTTCTTCTGATACCTTAATTTAAACAAATAACATACCTAAAAATATGAGGTTGCACTATTTTTCTATTTTGCTCTTAAAAGGACAGAATTTGAAAGTGTTAGTGGCTGTGAACATGTTCAATGTAGTTTTAAGAAAAACATTTTTAGCACCGTTGTGATTTGAAATTCAGTTACATGAATAAAAGGAAAATAACAGCGACAGTCATTGTCTGTGCCACAGCGACAAAGAGTTATTTAGTACTTCTGCATGTGTACTGCAGCTACCCATGTCTTTTTACTACTCATAGTGATAATGTTTCTTTAATTTATCGGAATTTTTTTCGTAGGATTTTCCTGGAGAGTATAAGTGTATTAGACACGAAGAACTTGCGAAGTTGGCTCGAATGGAACTGAAATGGAAACCGGTGAATGAATTGCCAGAAACTAAGCAAGTAATTGGAGTTTTCTCCATTATACAAGTTGAAATGCACAAAGGCGATGACATGGTAAAAATCGAAACTAAATTAGTGCGACCCCAATAGTTTACATTATATTATTTTACTGGTTTTTTTTATGACGACGACAACATGACGAGGGTCTTCAAAATTTCCATTCGAAACCTGAATTTTTTGTAATGTTACAATTTGTAACAGTAATTCTATTTCTAGAAATTAAGAGAGTTTAATCCGAAATCTTAATTTATTTTTATAAATGAAGTGATTTTAATGAAATTTAGTGTTAAATGAAATCGTTCCTTTCGAAAGCTCTTTACTCTAGAATTTATTGGTGACTGCAGTTTTTATAAAATATTTAATGTTTTTAAAAAGATTATATAAATGACTAAGTTGTTTGTAATTTAATATATTTGAAAATTGTGTATAAAATTTTATTCCTGATTAGACCAAGAAGATGGATCTTCTAATCATTTTAGCATTAATTGAATACTGTGTTTCTTATTTTGTAGTCTGTGTGTAGACATATTGTATGTAATTATAATATTCTGACAATGTTGTATTAGGATTACTATTTACAATTCATAGAACTGTCTTAAAAACCTAAAGCAAACAAGTCTTTAGGCGTTAAATATGATAAATGCATAATAATAATAATAATGAAATAATGTTTCAAATAAAACATACATAGATAATTGCATAATAAAAAATTGAATTCATTATATTCAAGAATAATTGAACTGTGAATTTATGTGCTTTACAGTTTTGAGACAGCGAATTTTTATTGTTTATTGTAAGCCTCATGTCAGGCTCAAAAAATAAGGGAGCGCTCAATTCGTCTATATTTTTGTTAGTATTAATGGACTATCTCAATAGCCCACAGCAAACTGAAGTTGTAAATGTGTGTNCATAATAAAAAATTGAATTCATTATATTCAAGAATAATTGAACTGTGAATTTATGTGCTTTACAGTTTTGAGACAGCGAATTTTTATTGTTTATTGTAAGCCTCATGTCAGGCTCAAAAAATAAGGGAGCGCTCAATTCGTCTATATTTTTGTTAGTATTAATGGACTATCTCAATAGCCCACAGCAAACTGAAGTTGTAAATGTGTGTCCTATCACTCGGATGTTGATAAAAGCCTACGAAATTCTCTTTAAGTCGAAAATTACAGATTAACTTCCAATTCAATTTTTAAATTGCATAATTAGGATATATGGCCCGCATACGTCTTACATAATCAAAAGTAAATAAAGTCACTCATTTTGAACTCTGGAGTGGAGTGCTTGCTAACAACTGACTTAACCGCTCGAGGGCACCTGCTTTGTGAATGCAATTATGAATGGATCATTGCGACTTGCTGAGAAGTTCCGACGAGGAACTAACTCGGCGGGTTGATGTTATGGGCTAGATTTCACATCGAACTCTGACATTCGACGAGCAATTGCCTATGCTCTGGGTGCTGCTATCGTAAGTAGCAGTAGCAGAGTGCATCACAAGGATCTGAGGGTACAATATGCGGCACATTGCATGTTTACTGAACGTGAACTTTATATATAGTAAGTCACTAAAGCAAATACAAAATACTTCAACGGTCCTTAAAATCAATTGAAATAGAAAAAATCTTGTTTTTTTTTCAAATAGGTTGGTATTTGCTGGTACTTTTTCCCTACTTAATCGTTGGTAGCCAAAAGAGCTATTCCAGTTTCGCGCGGTAGGTGAACTCACGGGCTCAACCCGAGAGAATTTGGTAACACCAGTCCTAGCGAGAGCAGTTCTTCGCAGAACCTACCACCGGATCGGAATAGGGATCCCTTGAGAAGATGTGGTGAGAAACTCAGTGGGCTAATCTTGTAATATTTAGTCCCTTATAAATTCTATTCGTACTATTTATGAAATAAATTTCCTGCTTCTTTGTGCCGCTATGCATATTTTATAATAATATTATCTGTTGTAATAAGTCTAATAGAATATTGAAAATAGAACGGGATATATACGAACAACACAGGAAGAATTGTTATTTCAGCAGTGCAAGTGAATTCGAATAAACATCTTACGGTGAACTGCGGCGTTCATATTGTTCGTCTATGAGCTACGCTAGCTACTCAATATCAAGTAGGCGGTGCGTGTATCCAACTTAAGATAACGAATTCATCCCTGAAAAATGAAGCCTAAAATTACCTGATTTTCCCGTATTCCGTAACTCGCTTAAACATTGATCAGACAGATATTCACGAGTTACGATTGTTGAATGTCTACTTTAAAGTACAGAATGTTATTTCTTTTATGTATGTCATACTGTGTATCTAATCGCAAAATAAGCTGTAACTCAATTTTTTTCATATTTATGACAATGCTATAAAAATATAAGTCGAGGGGTAAAAGCTATTCGGTTTAAAGCGATATTTTAGCAACTTTACAGGAGAGCCATTTACAGTTTAAATTTTTATTTATTGAAGTTATACTTCTTTAGGCGCGTTATGAAAAATTAATGAGAGTGAAATTTTACGATGCGCGCGCACCGTGACACAAAATTAACAGAAATCGCTCATTACAATACGACCGACGTAACTTGGCGAGTCTGAATATAGCCGCAGGTGAACATTCGCGCATGTACACACGTAAAAAAAAGTGTTATTAGCATTCATTTTTTAACGTTAAATATTTATTATTAATTATTTAACAAAAAAAGTATAACTCTTACGCGCGTACATAAGTACACGCACCCTTTTTAAATATCAACAAAAAAACTTCTTCAGCCATTTGAATGGGGTAAACTTAATGGAAGTTCCGTTTCAAACATCGAACTGTTGACGCTAATACCAAATAAAACGCACTTTTAATTTCAAAGATAAATGTCGCATTTTTTTTATTATTGCTTAGATGGGTGGAAAAGCTCACAGCCCACCTGGTGTTAAGTGGTTACTGGAGCCCATAGACATCTACGACGTAAATGCGCCACCCACCTTGAGATTTAAGTTCTAAGTTCTCGAGTATAGTTATAGCGGCTGTCCCACCCTTCAAACCGAAACGCATTACTGCTTCACGGCAGAAATAGGCAGGACGGTGGTACCTACCCGCGCGACTCACTATAGGTCCTACCACCAGTCAAAAAAGGGCATAAATCAAATAGTCTTTCACCCCTCGAAGTGTGCTTGCTTACTGGTTCAGATTCCGTCAATTTAATAAATGCTGTTGAAATAACGAAATTAGTTTACGTAATGTAATTCCGTGTTTTGTAGTGAATAAAGAAAAATTTAGGCTCCTAATAGTTTTTTTTTTAAAGACCCACAACGCCGTCCTCACAAAAATATGTATTGGTTTTCGATTGGACTTCTTGGTGGAATCATACCGAGTGAACTTTTTTGAATTGCGTTATTAATTAGTGTTTCTTCGGTTTAATCTGCAATGATGATTGTTTATGTTCCGTTTAGCATCGGTGAAATTGCACAAATGTGTGAAAAGGAAGTGAAATCCTTGATCATCCAACTGCGCCACTTTGAGAAGACGCGTACGGCACGACACGAAAACCCTGTTTTCGTTGCCGCCGGAAATTACAACGTTACGGATCCTCCCGATCCATTAACGGTGCTTTTAGATACCTCAAGCACGGGTCACCGTCCTCGCCGAAACCGTCGGCTGCGACGAAGGGCTCGGCGAGTAAATTAACCCATAGACACAGCCCACTGAGTTTCTCAATGGGTCGCGTTTCTAATTCGGTGGTAGATTCTGCGAAGCACCGCTCTTGCTAGGGCTAGTGTTAGCAACACCTCTGTTTGAGCCCCGAGAGCTCACTTACACGCTAGGGTAGTGCTGATATTATAGTCTCTCAAGGTTATCAGAATAGAAAAAAAGTGCATCCAAATGCATGCCAGTGAAATAGCTTCTGCGTTCGTTCAAAAACTCTATTATAGTCTTCGTAGATCCATTTGAAACGTTATTGTTGTATGTTTGGCAATTAATTCTAAATTAAAATGAACTTTATTTTTAAAATATGGATTCCATTTTTAAATTCAGACTTTTTATTGTTTCTTGTTTTGTTTTGATACATTTGCATCTTTCTCATCAATGGACATGACATGATAAAAATAAGATTTAAGAAAAAAAAATGGACTCCATGGTGCCTTTCCACCATACTTTCGCCTTTCCGGTATTGAAATAATCCATCCCGACAGGAGCCCTCTTCTTCGATATAGCGAAGGCGTTCGACAAAGTCTGGCACAACGGTTTGATATACAAACTGTATAACATGGGGGTGCCAGACAGACTCGTGCTCATCATACGAGACTACTTGTCGAACAGTTCGTTCCGATATTGAGTCGAGGGAACGCGTTCCCGCCCTCATCACGTCACAGCCGGAGTCCCGCAAGGCTCCGCCCTCTCCCCGTTACTATTCAGTTTGTATATCAATGATATACCCCGGTCTCCGGAGACCCATCTGGCGCTCTTCGCCGATGACTCCGCCATCTACTACTCGTGTAGGAAGAAGGCGTTGCTTCATCGACGACTTCAGACCGCAGCCACCACCATGGGACCGTGGTTCCGGAAGTGGCGCATCGACATCAACCCCACGAAAAGCACAGCGGTGCTCTTCAAAAGGGGTCGCCCTCCGAACACCACGCTGAGCATCTCTCTCCCGACTAGGCGCGTCGACACCTCCGCCACCGCCATTCGCCCAATCACGATGTTCGACCAGCCCATACCGTGGGCCCCGAAGGTCAAATATTTAGGCGTCACCCTCGACAGTAGGATGACATTCCGCCTTGACATTAAGACGGTACGCGACCGTGCCGCCTTCATTCTAGGACGTCTCTACCCGATGATATGCGAAGTAAAATGTCCCTTAGAAATAAGGTGACACTCTACAAAACTTGCATACGCCCCGTCATGACATATGCAAGTGTAGTGTTCGCTCACGTGGCCCGCACTCACCTAAAATCATTTCAAATTATCCAATCCCGTTTTTGCAGGATAGCCGTCGGAGCCCCGTGGTTCGTCAGGAACGTCGACCTCCATGACGACCTGGACTGAGTCCGTCAGTAAGTATTTGCAGTCGGCGTCGATGCGCCACTTCGATAAAGCGGCACGACACGAGAACCCTCTCATCGTGGCCGCCGGTAACTACATTCCCGATCCTGCGGACAGAATGGAAAGCTGTCGACGTTGCCCCAAACACGTCATCTCGGATCCTCCCGATCCACTAACGGTGCTTTTAGGTAGTTCAAGCACCGGTCACCGTTCTCGTCGAACCCGTCGCTTGCGACGAAGGGCTCGACGAGTAAATTAACCCTCAGACACAGCCCACTGAGTTTCTCGCCGGATCTTCTCAGTGGGTCGCGTTTCCGATCCGGTGGTAGATTCTGCGAAACACAGCTCTTGCTAGGGTTCGTGTTAGCAACTTCGTCAGGTTTGAGCCCCGTGAGCTCACCTACTAGTTAAGGTTACGCTGATATAGCCTCTCAAGGCTATCAGCTTAGGTAGGAAAAAAAAAACAACTAACTATAACTCTATGGTTTTTACTGATCTGATTTAATTTAAAATATTCAACTCAAAACAAGAAAAAAATATTTTGTTTCTATTGTTTGTTTTTCTCGTCTCTATTAGGTGATGTGATTGAAATAATTTCAAAAGTTCTAATTACAGTACCTATGTCCTTTAAAACATAAGATCTGCAAAAAGTATTCAGAAATGTATGCAGGAGGGAATTCAGTGAAAGAGATTTTTACAGAACTTTTTTCAAGCAAAAGTAATGCCGTGTTAGATCTTTTGGATAGGTTTCATTTTGAGGTGGACTCTGTGATAAAGACCGTCGATATAAGTTCATTAAGTCTCATCGACAAAAGTTTGTTAAATGAAATACAAAAGTACGAAAACGATATCAATGTACAGATACGGTTTGGATCAGCTTTAAGTGATATCCAGTGTTGTATCAGAGATGCTAACTTTAGACAACATGTTATATGTGTAGAGTATAAAAGCTATCAGAAATTACTTGTAAAATCTACGCAACTACCACACGCAGGGTCGCTGGAACGAGAATATAATAATTTAGATGAAATAGTGACTACATTTAGAGAGTTTATTTTAGATCTGACACCATATTTTCATCAATTGGAACTCATAGATAGAAATTGTACTGTGAAAGAACCCAGGAATCCTAGTTTCAAAGATGATTATAGGAAAATATTAATAGGTACGTGCTTAATATAAATACAGCAATTAATGCAAAAATAATATATGAACGTAAAATGTATATTGATGCTTACAAGGACAGATTTTTTTCATAAATCTTAATTTTGATATTGCACCTCCCAAAAAAAGGTAAATATACTAAAAATATACTAGAATATGTAACAGTATATTTGACAAATATTTTTAACTGTTAAGTCTGAAAATGATATAGATTGTGATATAATGATATTGTTAGCACGCTGCTAAGGATTGGTATCATCGTTGCCATAAAGTATCATTTAGTTCCAGCTTAAAGTGTTGATAATATTTTTAAAATATATGAGTAGTAAACTCAAATAATAGCAGTAAATGTGAATTGTGATGTATGTGGGTTTCAGGAATCTAAAACGAAGTGAGTTATTTGTTAAAACACAATTTATACAATTAAAAACAGTAATAAGTGATCTTTTTGTTTAAAAGGTTGGCTCGATTATACTATTGTACTACATTGTATAATTTTGTCTTAGAAATAAAAAGAAAAAATTACTAGGTATTATTAAATAAAGCACTTTTTCAGATGACAGAATATGGTTACACGTGGAAGTAACTTCTGAAGGTCTAGCTAATAATTTACATCTCATAGGCCAATCTGAGTTCTGGCAAAATAAATTACAGGATGGACTTATTAACTGGGATCATGATAGAGATATAATAGAAAATATTTCACAAATCTTTGGTAAGGAATCGTGGGACAGGCACTTTTATATTTTGATTGTAGACATGCCTGTTTATATTTGATTTTTATAAACAGTAGAACGTTAAACATTCATTTAGTTTTAATTCTAAAAGAAGCGAGTTACAAAATTTTAAGATAGTAAATAAAGTAAAAAGAAAAACTTTCATTAAAAACACTTTACTGGGTCTGTCAAAGCTTAATATTTCATCTATATTTCAGATATTGAAGTATTTCCTCAATGTGAAAGAAGTCAGAATACAGACATTGGCAATGAAACAGATTCACAAGTTTGTAGCATCTGTTTGTGTGTTGAATTACCTGATGTTCAAGGTGTGCCCCAGCCTTTATGCAGCAATATATCTTGTGGAGCATATTTTCACAGGACCTGCTTACATATGGTTTATATTAATTTTGTTTATTTATCATTCTATCTTCCTAATTGTGTACTGTGTATTGTAAAATTTCTAATTTGTAGAAACGTTAATGAACCAATTATTGCTTATCGATTTTTTTTGACCTCTTGGTCAATGTCTCATCAGCAGAACTATGAGTACATATTACATAATAAAGGTATCAATAGTTTAAAACATTAAATCGCTTTAAACCAGTATTCCAACAAAATTTAGTGATAGTTTATCTATTACTGTAGTAACCAAGTCTCAATTTTATAGTACAATGGCATTTTTATTTCGGGTTGGAGGCCGAACCTCCTACGAGGTCCTCGCGCCTAAGGGGAGGCGCGCGGCATATGTGGGACTTGATGATCTGCTGATGTTGGGAGCAGACTACGGGCCCAAGGACTTTTAGTGCGCTACTGCACTGAACGACTCCCCTGCACTCTTACATCCGACGTCCGATCTCTGTCCGGGGTCAGAACCCGGTGAGAGTAAGGGGGTTACCGCAGTCAACACTACAACCACAATCGCGGCGCCACTCCGAGGACGCCTGTCCGACAGGTCGTTGAGGCGATAGTCGACGACCAACGACGCCGGTCTCTGCGGTACGGCAGCCCTGCCAGGCCGCCCGGGCGATGCCGCTGGTGTTCTGGGATACCCCGCTGGGTCAAAACTAGCCTGCCGGGTCGTCGAGGCGATAGATAGTCAACGACCAACAATGTCGGTCTGTCTGACGCCGGAAATCGTTTGTGTTGGCAATTTGATGATACGAGCGACCATCACTTCTTGTTTCTTTTATGACTGTCTAATGTTTTATATTGAACGGATTCTAAGAGTTGTTTCAAAAGTAGTTCTTAAATATATGAATAGCATCAGATATTACAGGCTGTTTGCATAGGTATTGAAAGTTCATAATCTTTTGGCCAGAATAGTGAAGTCATCTGTCCAGTTTTCGAGCATGATTCGTACCAATCTGAAGGTTTACAACATTGTCTACCTCTTTTCTCAAGCTACACTTAATGCCAACGATGGATTTAGAATTCGTTTTTATTCTGAATGCAATAAATATACATTGATATAATGAATAGATTTTTTTTTATCAAATTCTCATAAATATCTCAGAGAATATAAATTTGTATTTCTTTTTATATAGGTATTTAATCTTAAAGTTTGTTTTGTTTCAGTGGTTGGTTACCAGTGCAAGGAATCGACCCCAAACATTCGGCGTTGCAAGTGGTTCTTGTCCTTCATGTCTACAAGCAATTTCTTGTAATGAAAAAGAAATTTAGGACAGTACCGCCATTTTAGATACTGATCTATTAATTAATTAGTGAAATAAATTTGTAAAATATGAACATGCTTTTTAATCCTTGCGCCAAATAGTGCAACTATTATTTTTAATAGAAATCAAATGCTTTATGTGGATCGCCAATCTACCTAGTCAGGTCATAAACTCTGTCACATGTTTAATGTAAAATAATTGAAACAAGTTTATTCATTATGTAATCATTCATATACCAAAATGAACTTAACAAAACATAGATTCTTATGACACTAAAGTTTATTCAAAATGACCTCCGTGATTTTGAATACAGGCCTTCAATCTGCGCGACCAGTCTTCTATCGCAGCACGAACGAGGTCCATGACAATATCGGCGGCAGCCTTAATCAAGGATGTCTTGAGTAACTCCAAATTGGGATGAGGCTTTGAGCACGCCTTTTCCTCCAAGTGTTGCCATATCTTGTAATCTAACGGATTCAAATCTGGACTGGAGGAGGGCCAGTCTTCGTGCCGGATGAAGTCAATTTCACGCGCCGCCAGCCAGTCTTGTGTGCTCTTCGCTCTATGAGCTGGCGCCGAATCTTGTTGGAATACCCAGTGCCTGTTATTGAACATGGTATGAGAAACAGGTTCCACAAGGTTCGTCAGGACTGTATTTTGATACACAACTGCCTTCGTTTTTACACCTTTCTCACAAAAATGTACCTCTTTAAAGCCCCAATAAGAAACTCCCAACCATACCATGAGCGAGGATGGAAAATGACCTCGTTGGACACGCGGAATACGGTTGCTCGCTTCTTCACTACTGTGTGCGTACACCTTATCATTTTGTTTGTTGTAGCTCTCTTCTACGGTAAAATTTTTTTCATCCGAAAAAAGAATTTCCCGATATTTTTTTCCCGCGTACCGCTTCAACAAAGCGCGGCATCTCTTCAGTCTCAGGTCCATTAGACGAGCATTCAAATGATGTCCTGTTTTTCTTCGATATGCCCGAAGCCCTAAGTCTTCATTTAACACCCTTTTCACCGTGGTTCTGCTTAACCCCATCTGAAGGGCAGCAGTTTCTGCTTACGTTTGGGATTTTTTTGAATTCGCGCCTTCACAGCTTTTATCACTGCTGGAGTCCTAACAGACCGAGGGCGACCACTTCTTGACCTGTCATCTACACTAGTCTTCATTGTATCGTTTGGTGGTACGATAAACGAATCTTTTGGTTATATTCAAAATTTTCAGTATGTTAAAAATTTGAATTGGCGCGTAACCGCAACGATGCAACGCAATAACTGCAACACGGTCTTCTTTAAGCGTCCACTCCATATTTAAAAATGAGTAAAATTCTAATAGTATACATTTTTATTTTCATGAACAATTCGAAATTCGAATTCAATAAACTTTTTTGTGGCCAGCATTCTAAAAGAAAAGTTTTTACTGTGTGACAATACTTATGACCTGACTAGGTATATTAGTAGTCTTAAATACCTAATAAGATGAAAATATTGTAGTCTAAATCTTTGAAAGAAAAAGCAATATGATATCAACCTAAAAATGTATTTGAGGTTTAATTCTTTTGTCTCAAAGGAATTGATGGGATTGTTACAGCTCCATTTTCAGTTTGTATTAGGTTGCCTGTGAACTTCACCCATTTATCCAAAACCTATTTTATTATTATTAATCAAACCATGTTTTAAACATAAAACAACTTACACAATAAAACATACTGTTAGACTTTACTTTTTATTTGAAATTACGTAGACAATATTTCGCGGTTACATAGAATGGTTCATTATAAACAAAAGTTGACAATGGATACTCCACTAACAGCTTATTCAACACTTATCGTTGACGAATTAGTTATCCTTAAACTCAACTTGTTCAAAAAAAAATTTATGGAGATCTCTAAATTAATACATATATTGAGAATGTTTTTAATCTACAAAATTCTCCACAGCAATAAACGCCCATAAAGAGGCAGAAAGAACAGAGAACTTTTCAAACAAGAAATCCATATGTAATTAATTTTAAAAGAGCTACATCAGTTTCAATAATTAATATGACTATTAGACAGTAACAGGTTTTCATTCATTAAATGTCCAATTTATAAGCCTTTTCTTGTCATATTTAGAGCAATGCCTCATAAACATTGCAATGTGAATTACATTTTAAAGTTACCTTTAGTATTACAAATATTTTAATCACAGAGGTACTGGATCGAAAGTGCGAGTGTTCAAACTAGTACTGGAGCCTGGAGCTTCTCCACTTTGAGGTCCTATGTCTCTGCCAATATTCTGCGAAGCCAATATTTGATGTTAGAAAAATTTGGGAAATTCTGAGATTTTTTTAATTATGTGATTAAAGGTTTGGTGTACTTTAATAGAACAATCTGAATATTATTAATACTTGTACACCGCAACATACCTATTTTAGCTTTTGAGAATTTCTCTATATAAAAAGTTGTCTGGAAAATATTGCTTTAAGCGATAGAACCACTTATTTTATAATTAATTATACCTGTCTGTTGACTGTTTTCTAATGTTAATAGTGTTTTGATGTGTAATAGAGTATACTCTCCATTTTACCAATTTTGATTATATTTCCTTTTGCTTTTGGTAGTTAATTAATATTTGCCTCATATTGTGAGTGTGCATTTGTAGCTATCACAGCAGTTACATATCCGAGTTTGAAGGGATATAGCCAATGCACAATATAATTTTCTGTTAGCTAAGCTAAATGATACTTATTGTATACAAGTGTATGTGGGTTGTCTGTCCATTTATAGCAATAAAAATGTTGCATATCTCTTTTCTTATCTTTGTCTTTTAGTAACTATTGCAAAATAGTTTTATTTCCAGTTCGAACCTTAGCCTCTTGTTTTTATGATAATCCACAGAAGAAACTATTACAGAACTTATTTTATTTATTAATTAATTTTAATTGTGGATTTTACCTTTGGAATTAACTGAACTAAATGATAATATTAATTTTCTTACCTTTACATGGATTTGGTTTTTGAGCATTGCAGCACGCAAAATTAACATTGACGTACGCCGTTGATATTCTTTTCCCATGGCTAAACTTCTTTCAAATGTTGTGCTCCTCTGGTCTACATCTTTTGCATATAATATTTTATTATGTGAATCAATCCTAGCCTGAATTTGCCCATCAAGTATAAGTTGCATTAGTTCATCTTCTAAGGCAATCACCGATCGGTTAAATGCAGCCGCCATTAATTTCATGTCAGCTGACAAGTAAGGGCTAAAGTATTGAATCAAAGCCCTGTTGCGAATTTGCATGTATAAAGAATTTATATGTGGTGCTAAATACATGTCTAACAAAAGATTATCCCTTATTTCATCCAACAGCCGTAAGCACGAGGCATATTTGGATTCATAGAATTTGAAAATTATGTCACGTAATTGGGGCTCTAGCTCTAAGAATAATTTAAAAGAACTGCTAACTATGACTTGTTTCTGCAACTCGGAACGATCAAATGTAGCAAGTGCGCAAAGTCCACCATAGATGGCAACATTATTACTGCTCATTAATTCCGGGTATTCACAATGATCAATGCTGGCAGCCAAAAAATGTTTTGCAGCAGATTTATACTTTTTCGTTGCCAGCTCGGCTAATCCTGCTGCACATTTTAAACGAGTTAAAATTGACTGGTTGCTGTCTTTTCCGGGAATTTCATTAAAGTCTGGGGTCGCTTCAGCTTTAGATACATAATTTAGAACATGAGCCCAATTTTGAAGATATACTGAAACTTTAACTACATTCAAGCACATCATGACAAGATGTTTTCCACTTGTGCAGTAATCTCTAGCTCTTGAGTAGCATTTCAAGGCACTGGTGAGATCTCCACAATCTAGATAATGGTCACCCAAATCATCATGGCCTCTTCTGATACTCTCTTTGATTGAATTTGTTTTATAATTTTTCAAATCAGTATCTAGCTTTTCCAGTTTTATGGCAGCTTTTTTTGTTTTTGATTCTACCCAAATAGTATCTAAGACTGGAATATCTTGAGAACCTGCTATATCAGGCAGTCCTGCTGATGCCACTGCTTCTGAGAGTTTTTTATGCAGTGTGTGATACAGATTTACGTTATATGTGGTCATGACATAGGATATGGCCATTTTCAAAGCTTCCAATCGCAATGACGGACAGTGGTCTGCTACAAACATGAGCCTATAAAGTTTTGCAAAACCAGTATATGACGCAGCGTATGTTTCCAAATCCAAGGTGGGGTTTTCAACGACGTAGCATTCCGTCTCATTGTTTTCATTATCTTCTGGGGGAATATCAACCTGCATTGGTTCGGCTGTGTTCTATAACATCGATCAACAATTTTAAGTTAGTAACGTAAATAATTATAATATAATTATGCCCTGTAACGTTTACTTTAGAAATATGCACTAAAAAAAGTGGAGAACTTACCATTTCGAACATTATTGGAGGGTTTTAGGCCTTTTTTAATGAAAATACGCGAAATTTACTGTCAACGATGAAAACCAACCTACAACAAAAGTTATCCTTATTCGTGTGTTTTAGTTGATTGGATCAGTGTAATAAATTAGCGACTTAATTTTCAACTTACTCATCAGAAAACCGCAATTTTACAACTCTCTTAGTATTTTTTAACAAATACCTTTATCATTACGTTTCATCTTGGCAGCGGCATTTTTCTCAGTTTGACGAAATTTGCTCAATGTCAGTGATGAGTGTTGCTGTTTTCAATTATTTTCGTAGCTTAAGTTCAAAAGTATGTATGTAGCGCTACAGACATTATTTGTATGTTTAATGTATATAATTATTAAATTTAAATAGATAGATTTTTAGGAGGTATTTAAATAGAAACTTAGAAATACGTAGCATGCCTGAAAATATAATCAATTTAAAACAATAGTGTAGACACAAATTTGTGAATTTTATTTTATTTAGCGAAAACAAAATATTCATGGGTTTTCAACAGATCGTTATTATTTGAGCAATGTTTGATAGAACCTGGTAATTATTCATTTTAATAGAGCTGATTTTTTTAATAGATATTGGTGAGGTACTTATTTATTTATTTTATCTTTATAGGATTACAATGCAACACTATGAAGTTTC